TAGATGTTTCTGGCAAACCAGGCAACGGATGAATCTGAAATTTCGATGGTATGTATAAATTAACATAACCTGCACTACTGAAATATTTGAAACAATCCGGCGTTGCCGCTTCTACTCGAAAGTAGCAGTAACTTTGATTTTTCAAATGGGACACCCTGGATGCTTCCTGAAGAGCTGATTTAATCGATGCACAAAGTTCGGGGTCTAGTGGGACTAATAACTGAGATATTTATAGTGAGAAAAATTGAGATGTTTCAACTTTAGAAATGTTTTGTGTTGACACTATTTATTATTGCATGTTCATAACGGCTTCAATGTCCCTATCTCAACTTTCTATTCGATATTCAATTGAAACAGATACAGGGTGGTGCAGAAATCTGAATTATGAACCATCCTGTATTTGTTTCGATTAAATGTCAATAGATACAAAGTTAAGATGGGGACATAAAAGCCGTTTTGATCAATAATGAATATTTTCGTAAAATAATTCTAAAGTTGAAACATCTCGATTTTTCTCACTCTAAATATCTCAGTTACTAGTCCCACTAGACCCCGAACTTTGTGAATCGATTCAGGAAGCATCCAGGGTGTCCCATTTGAAAAATCAAAGTTACTGCTACTTTCGAGTAGAAGCGGCAACGCCGGATTGTTTCAAATATCTCAGACGTGTAGATCATGTTAATTTATACATACCTTCGAATTTTTAGATTTATCCGTTGCCTGGTTTGCCAGAAACATCTAATTAACGCTCATCGTGAAAAGCCCTGTATAGTTTTGATGACGGACCTGCAACTAAGACTGGAACAAAGAACGATATAAAATACTCCTTCTAAATGTAATACTCACGTATACTGAATAGGAAGTAAAAAAATTAATAAATCTCGTCTGATTCCAATTTTGTAACCCAAAATGAGCAAAAATAATATTTTGAGCACATAATATGAATAGTTAAAATCGTCTGTGCACGAATAAAAAGCACATCGTTGAATAGAAATTTTGATATTCTTTTCAGATATGGCAAAAAAAATGAGAAATTCGAATGTATAGGGTGTTCTTTTCTGGCAGAAAGAATTTGTGAATTTTAAGTGAAGCCGGACCTGGATTTTATCTTTTGTTGTTGCCTCAATCAATTCCACAGGGTAGATTGAGCAAGTGTACCAATTTTCAAAAATAAATACAGGTTGGTTGGAAAGTTATGAGACAATGAAGATATGGACAAAATTGATTAAACATCCTGTATCTCGGTTATAAGAAGTCGAAGACCCATCAACGATGGGTTTTTTGAAATCACCTCAGTGACCCTATCCACAGTTGAATTATTTACCTTTCCCAATGAAACACCCTGTATATCTAGAAGTTCGTTCAACAAGTAATATGTCAAATCATAAAGAAATCAGAACTAATCTCTTCTGTCAATTTCTATCCAATAAAAATGTACAAAAAATCAATTTACACGATTCCAGTTGAAAGTTGAGAGTTATCAGCTAGGTCGAAATTGAAAATTCATTCGAATGTTTTTGTTCCATATTTTTTTGTTGAACCGGTCAAAGTGTGCCGTGTGAATTGAAGAGCAGTTCTTATAGCATTTTGTCTGATCTTTCTGAATCTAATTGAATTTTTGAGAAAAGTGATCACAAAGTGAATTTTTTTGACATAACAATGAAACATAACATTTTCCTAAGTCCGGACCTGGATTTTCTTTTCATAATACGTTATCTTGAATAGTTTTAGTAGAGATACGTCGCTGCCAAATTTCAGCAGATTACGAAGAATCATTTTGGTAATATCGACCATCAAAGTTATATAGCAATTTCACATAATACCCTGTATCTTCGTTATGGAGGGTCAAAATATGTTTTCATATATATATACATCAACTCGTCTTGATTTCCCCTATTAACCATTCGGCTATGTGAGTCTTCTCATGAAACACCCTGTATATGCCGCATATATTTGTCATCATGACAATTTGTCATACGTTCTTTCGTGCATTCAATGAAAGTTTTTTTTTTATTTTTCATGAGAGATAACCAGCTTTCCTCCTTCTAAACAAATAAGACACACATTTTGAATAAAAACGTCTTGTCCATTGACAGTTTTACGAAAAGAAGCAAGTCTTAATTTGATTTTCGACTCTAGTTCACTGTCAGAGCTGCTGCTGATCGTTAAATCCATTTCTAGAGGATACAAAAAAATACTAACTGTACCTAATACTCACTAAGTAAGTTCTAAATATTGTTAACTTAGCAATAAGTTATTATTCGCTTTTAATAATTTGATTTATAGACAAGAACTTTATCACTCATCACTAGTAATCTCAGTGGAATCAGCGCTACCAGAACAATGCAAATCGACCGTATCAACATCGCCCTCAGTAGAATGGATTTTCCGTTGACATAGGCATAGCAATCTCGCCCTTCCCCGCATCTCTGCGCCCGCCGCTGTTCGTCGCGACATGCCGTTCGATTTATTCAATTTTCTCGTGAACCAATTATCCAATCAAAATTTTAAAAAAACCAACATGTTCTCTGATGTTTGGTCTTTAACGTTTATAGAAAGTCTTTTTTTGCTAGACCCAATACTTTTCGAGGTAGAGCGAGTTAAATGATTTTAAAAATATGGGTGTTCAGGGCAAGCGGTTTTGTGTGAAGGCGCTCCATATACAACAATGCTGCGACGTATTTTTATAAATTAAAAAAAAATATTTCTGATATCCGGATGGGTATGCAAATTTGAGGAATGAATAATCTCACATCTTAGATCTGAAAACCGATGAAAAAAAAAATGGCTTTTTTTTAAAAAAATGCTCCCCCTACTCCCCTCCAACTACGATTTTTGGACGACCAAGTGATTTTGCATTGCAAAGGTCTTTGGAATGATAAAAAATGGGTTTTACATTTTAGCAACAAAGTGCCCACGGGATAGCACGATAGGATCCCGTTTAAACTCTACTATAACTGGGATTGAAGGATTTGGGACTAGAACCAAATACTCAGAGATCTTGAGCAACTCTACAAGTATCTTCAGGTGGAAGTATATGCCATTGGAAAATGTGTCGAGCTCAACATTGAGATTGAGAAGAACTACCGCAGACAAAAGATCATCATCATGTGTGATAGCCAAGCAGCTATCAAACGCTGAGCTCACATGTAATCACCTCTGAGATAGTCTGGTACTGCCCAGGAAAATAGAAAAAATCAAAGATGTAGGTAGAGCAAATTGGGTCACCTTTCTCTTTTTTCCGTGGTATACCGGACTTGAGGGTAATTGAATATCAGATGGACTAGCGATATTTGAAAATGGATTTATCTCACATTTATGTATTGAAGATACTTCCTGTATAGTTTCAGTAGTTGCATTCTCATCAATTTAACTGTTTACTCATTCACCATTCTCCTTATGCATTTCATGTCCAATAATTTTTCGGGATTTCGGCGATCACGAGAATAGGGATAGTCGCACAGATTTCATATAGATTTTCTACTGGCATTGAAAAACTATAAATTGTTCAAACAGACTCTTTACTCGTTTTGGTATTTTCTGGTATTGATTCGCTAACATAATTAAGGATTTCTGTAGTTGAAGTTGAACCAAAACGAGACATTTTTATTTTGAGTAACTCTTATGTCAAACTTTGAAAGTCAAAAACTAGTGCCTAGCCATATCACCACTATATGGGAAATATTTTCACGGCGGTTAGTGAAGAGCGTATGAAATTGTTTTGTATTTCGACCAGACAGAAGCGTGGTGGTCAACTGCAGATGGAAAGGTCCCTGGTTTTAGTCCCTACAAGCAATCTGTATGTGCACAAATCTGAGAGGTTATGTTAGTTTCTCAACATATGAAGTAGTGAAATATATCATTATTATTATTATCATCCTACAACCTACATGTACTTAAATGAAGCAATGCTAAGCGAATGAGAATTAATACAGAATTATAAGTAAAAAAATCGTATGCATGAAATGCAGAGAATTACCTACATTCGTTTTACAAATGTTTTATAGTGATTGTAGATGGTTGGCTTACATTGTTTGGCAAATGCATCATATTTAGAAATATTTTTTATGTGAATTGGTAAAGAATTGTAATTTTTTTAAGCTAGGCTTGTAATAATTCTTCGGTTACCGTCTTTTCTGTAAAAAGGAACAATTAAATTCTGGTTGTATATTAGTCTAGTTTGTTATGAATGCTCAACTTTTGTTTGTAAGTCTTTGTTTTTATACTAAAAAAAGACAAATGTTATAAAAATATAGTATTCTAATGTTGAGTATATTGTCGTCATAGAGCTTTTCCATAGGGAATTGTTTTCTTTTTGAAATATAACCTTCAAAATATAGTTTTTTTACAACATTCAGAGGTTCTAGTGAGTTTATGTACAGAGCACTCAAATATGACACCTAAATCTTTAATTTTGATAACTTAATTAATTTTTAGTCCTGTTCTTGGTAGCTGTAGGAAGTTGAAATTTGGTCTGTTGACATCAGTAAGAGAAAATGCAATGAATTTTGATTTTTCTATATTTAGGGTTTATTCATTAAAGTCTAGCCAGTCTTTTACCATTGCGATACCAGGTTCTGCTTCAGTTTTCACACCTTCCCAAGTATCATCGGTAAATACCAAAGTTATTGCTCAGTAATGAATTGATATAGATGACGAAAAGGAGAGGACCTAGGACAGTTCCCTGCGGGATGCCTAAATTGATCGTTCTATAGTCGCTCATGATGTTATTTATTCTAAACTGCTGAGTTCTGTCTTCCAGATAACTGCGAAAGACGTTCAACACAGCGACTCTCACGCCATTGTGCTCAAGCACTTCTAGCAGTTTTTCATGAGGCACTGTGTCGAAGGAATTTGCAAGATCCAAAAATACACCTAGACATTTTTTTTTTGTTTTGTCCAAGTCAGACTTGAATCATGATAGTTCATAGGTGCAGCCATGTGTGAATGAAATAATCACTTAAACAATCTTTTGAATGAATAATATAATCGTTCCTCACCCTCCTTGAAGAACTCGGAGGCGGCCACGTCCATGCCGATGTCGATCTTGCCCGTGTAGCCCGCCTTTTCGATCGCCGCTTTAATCAAATCCAGTCCCTCTTTGTTGTCGAGGATGTTGGGCGCGAAACCGCCCTCGTCGCCCACGGCGGTCGCGTCCAACCCGAACTTGTCGTTGATGACCTTCTTGAGGTGGTGGTAGACCTCGCTGCCCATGCGCATGGCCTCGGTGAAGGAAGTGGCGCCCGTCGGCAGGATCATGAACTCCTGGAAGTACGGTCGTTCTTTTTAGGGCAATATCGAGCAATCAATTTGTGGTAGACTTTTTGGAAAGAGCGGTACAAAAAATGCGTTGCAGCAAGGTTTTTTTTTCAAATTACTAGCTCAATTCGAATTTCAGAAAATTATTATTTCGATCATAGTGTTTCCGTGTTTTTATTCGCAGTCAATTCCATCGCCCAAGGCGGTCGCTTCCAGCACGAACTTGTCGTTGATGACCTTCTTGAGGCGGTGGTAAACCTTGCTGCCCATATGCGCATGGCATCGGTGAAGGAGGCGACGCCCTTCGGCAGGCTCATGAACTCCTGGAAGCAAGGTCGTCCTTTTTAGGGCAATATCGATCAATCAATGCATTGGTAGACTCTTTGAGGCTGGGCGGTACAAAAATGCATTGCAGCAAGTTTTTTTACGGATGACTAAACCTTTTTCAATTATAATTCAGAAAGTACCAGAGGTGCAGCAGGGTGTATGGTGGTGCGTTGTGAAGCCCTATAGCACAATCACTTCCAACAATTTTATCTTCAACCTGTTCAAGATACACAAGTCGTTGTTATTCAACACCCGGGCCTTCAATTTAATTTTAGACCAGGTTGTTTCAATTGGGATCAAGATTGAGGAGTATGGACCCAAACGATAAAGACTTGCTTCAGTTCCGTTCAAAACGTTTTCAAGCCTGGAAAGGCAAGATGCATTATCGCACACGGATAATTGATGTCCTTGAGCTTGCTATAGCTGCAATATTCTCAGCACCCAAACATTGGCTATATTGGATGTGAAAGAGCCTCTTCTTTTCTCGAAGTGCATTTTGTACAGCTGCTGCCGATATTGCTCCAATTAAATGAACGTTATGCATAAGATGTGGGTGTACTGATATTTTTAGAACCATTCCACTCGAAAATGATACATATGATCAATACGGAAAAGGAGCATCTTTTTTCTGCAAAACGGTGTGGATTTTCATAAACTGAGATTAAATTGTCGAAAAATATGCACACAAAAAAGTTTTGAGCAATATTTGATGTAGTCCCACCCTGTATTAAACACTCCTGAATGAAATTTTGAAATGATATCATTTTCACTGCATTGGGCATAGAAAGTTTAGTTCTTGTACCGGATTGCATCATTTTATCACATGGCGTTTCGGAAATATTCAGGAAATATCATCTTCAGGAGTCCCGATCAACCTTTTCACTGTGGGAACCGGATATCTATGTAAAACAATGTGGTGTTCGTATAGCGGGAATCGGATAAATAAGCACTAACTTTTTTAGGTAACCGGCAGAAAGCGACCAAACACGTGATTATAATTGTATTTTGTGTTGCATATAGATGGAACTCTGTCGCTAGCCAAGACGTTTTCAAAAAGTTTCACTACCCTGGCGCTTCACAGCGGGAACCGTTTAAATCAGCGTATTTTTTACCAGGAACGAATTTGGACGTGTTGGTTCTTGAAAACTCGAATTCATGTTAGTTCGGCTTGTGGCGACAGTTCGTCCTGATGTGACCCCAAGACTTCACAGTAATTCAGTTTTCTATAATTTCCGGGAAAACTCGAATTCATGTTAGTTCGGCTTGTAGCGACAGTTCGTCCTGATGTGACCCCAAGACTTCACAGTAATTCAGTTTTCTATAATTTCCGGGAATACAGTGTCAGATACATGAAAAATGACTCGCGTATTAATATAACTTCATCGAATGAGTTGTTTCAATATTCTATTTGGAAATCATGAGAGGGTTTTCCGATCTGTGGAAATCACGTGGAATTTACTTCCTCCTGAATTCCAAATTCCTTAGATAATTCTGAGTACGGCTGTGGATCAATTTATCGGTTCACTGCAGGAACCTTATTATGCTCTCGAGATGATTTCTCCACATAACTGCGGAAACCGTGTTGATCAGCACCAGCCCAAAACCGCCGTACAGAAGACCAGAATTTGAAAAAGCTATGAAAAGGTTAAGGAGGCCTTAGCTCCATTGTTGCCAGCATGCGACCCCCCGTTGATGACATTGAAAGCGGGCACCGGCAGCACTATATCCTTGTTTCCCGCCAAATCCGCGAGGTGCCTGTACAAGGGCACGCCCTTCTTGGCCGCCCCCGCTTTCGCCACGGCCAGAGACACCCCGAGGATGGCAGACAAATCAACACAAAACTTGCGGTGAAACGGGGTTCTCAGGGGGTTTGAAGTACCCACACCAGGTTTAATTCACGATCCATATACGTCCCCGATGAATACAGAGCAAGGGGAAGTTTATATTGGCACTATGCAATTCTGCAAACTAATAAATACCATCTTCAGGACCAAGTCCGACATAGCACAAACACGTGCTTCATATCAAAAATAGGAAGACTAATAACTCACCTAATAAATACAGGCACGATTGACAAATATACCGGGAATCCCGATAGTCGAATCTGGAACCACTGGCAATCACTAATTATACAGAGAATTTGCAGTGATGATTAATTATTCGGTTTCTAATTCATGACGCGTACTGATGGTCAACCATTTGTTGAAAAAGACCAACACTCGAACACATTCTTCCAGAACGTGTCAAAGGTTTTTGCGAGATTTTTTACCAACCTGGTAGGTGCGAGAGAAACAACGTAATTCAAAAATGATAGTACCTGTCAACTTATTCGAGTTAGGCAATCAACCACGCATTTGGGTGTGCCGAGGGTTGCCTATGCCTGGCAGATGATGAATAATATTTATAATATCAACAGAAAAAGAAGAGAGATCGACGACCGAGATGCCCTAACAGCTGATTCGACTCGACAGGTGCGACGACCTTCTGCAATAAAAAGTGCGAATCGGTAAAAAACAATGAATAAGGGAAATCGCAAAATATACCCGGTAGACACGTAAACCATAATTATACGGTGGCTGAGGTAAGGGAAAGTTCACAATGTTGTTTTGCTACAAGCTCAATGAATTGCTTACCTGCATGGCAAGCTTGTTGCCAGCATGCGACCCCCCGTTGATGACATTGAAAGCGGGCACCGGCAGCACTATATCCTTGTTTCCCGCCAAATCCGCGAGGTGTCTGTACAAGGGCACGCCCTTCTTGGCCGCCCCCGCTTTCGCCACGGCAAGAGACACCCCGAGGATGGCGTTCGCGCCCAACTTCGACTTGTTCTCGGTGCCGTCGAGCTTCAGCATGAACTCGTCGATCTCGGCTTGCTGCGTTACCTCCAGTCCTGCTTTGACTAGTTCGGGCGCGATGATCTTGTTGACGTTGTCGATGGCCTTGGAGACGCCCTTGCCGTGGTATTGGGCCTTGACATTGTCGCGCAGCTCGAGAGCTTCATGGACGCCTGGAAAGAGTAAAATTCCATTTATTTATTCTTCACAGGTAACAATTATGCAGTGAGAACTTGGGCAACAGTAAAATATCTGGGAGTGCACTTAGCCCAAAAAACAGTGTATCAAAAGAACATTTTTGGAGCATAACCTACAAGAACCAGGGATTTAAACAGAGAACAGCATCACACATTTATAAAACTATTTGCCGCCCAATTCATGAGTATGTTCACCAAATATACATCAATACTAGGAAGACGGCTCTGAAGAATGCGTAGTGCACAACCAATTTCTGAAAGAATAAAAAAGCTATTTTTTGAGTTTTTCAAAAATGAATCCGAACTCCAAATTATCCATTTCCAGTGAGTTCACAGATTCAACAATGAATCCAACATGGAAGTGCCTGGAAAACACATTGATGGAATGCTTCAGCAATTTAGCACAAGAGCCAGAAAATGTAATTGAAATTTAGCTGAAATTGGATGAAATATTGTTTTGCAGAATCATATAACACCTGACACTTGCACTCAACTGAAGTCAAACAGAAGTAGACCTAAGTGTTACACCGTCTTAGTTAAAATATAGTCATTAGTCAGCTCATCAAGATACGGTATAAACGTGACTAGCTAACATTGTTTTTTCTCCAAATGACATTCAGTGGATTATTGATGAAACTTAACAGGCAGAAAAAGTGTACTGCCTAGGCAGAAAAAGTTTTTTGCTATGCAACGTTCCAAATAATTTGAATCAAATTGGTGAGTAATCAAAATTGACAATGACTTTGGGTGAACAAAAAATGATGGATTATTTGGACTGTGCTTTATTTGGAGAAAAAATTATGTGTCACATGGTGTAAATGTTCAGTTGTTAGGAATCGGAACGATGTTTATTGGAACGACCCATCTCTAATTCCAATAAAGCGAGCATTGATTAACACACAAAATGGCGTGTCATTTAGATAACCTATTATCCTCAATAATTAGAGAATAACTAGTATTTACATGGCGCAGTCGGTACCAAATTACGTGAGAAATTAAAATTCAAAAGTGGACAAATCAATCAAATTGAAATTACAATCCGAACTAATTCCGAAGTAGCGAACATCATGTTCCTAACACATGGCAGAAAAGTAGATGTAATGCCTTGGCTGGTTTCCTGAAACGCCAGCCACGGCATTAAATCTTGTACTTTTCTGCCTAGTAAAACAAATAACTATTATATGAAATGTAGATATCCGAGTAGATATCTTGAAAAGCGTTTTTGAACTTTCTCCAAGATATCTCTAGTGCATCATATAATGTGATGGTTGTTATTTTCAAGATATTACTGTTTATAACGATAAATCCAAGTGCCCTATTAGCTTTATTAGCTATATTCCTGCAATAGTTATTAAAGCCAGACTGAAAGTGTACGTCAAGATCCTTACATTCGCTTTTCTCAATGAGTTTTTTATTATCAGATGTATATTCATCCATAGTATAATGTATAGTATTTGCGTCGTGTGAAACTAGTTACAGAATAGATATCTTGTTGCAGAAAAAAGCAATCAGCAGTGCTATTTATGGCTTAAAGATTTTATAATAGTCAGCAAAAGTCAGACAAGGCGAGTTTTCTACACTTTGTGAATCATTGATGAATATTATAAAAAAAGTGATCCCGAATTACTGCCTTGGGGTACACCTGACGGAGCATCAAAGCTATTTGATAAAGTTGGCCCAATTTTGACTTTTTTGTTTCATGAGGAAATATATGATTTGATAAAATCGTACACGTCTTTTAGTGCATTGAGGTTTGAAGGTTTGTTCAATATTTGGTGATCAACTTTATCAAATAACGCCTTTGCACAGTCCGTAAAAATGGCACCCATCTGCTGTTACAAGATGTAATTGTATAACGATAATAGTGTACTGTTTATCGAGCACGGAATGGGTCATTTCCAACGAGAATCATACAAGTGGGAAATTAGCATTCCGTGCGAGTATACACTATACTTTTTCTATCACTGTAATATTTCATTTCTTTGGCTTGTAGCCATCTGATTTTCACTTAAGTAATGCTCATCCATCAGACAGAGGTGTCATTGCTTGAAATTTGACATTTCATGGGAGATGAGATTTTATGAAATAATAACACAATGAAGACATTGTGATATCAGATACGGAAATGAAAATGATGACATACAATACAAAATCTAGTACTAAAGTAGTAACTGGAACAGCCCAGTACCGACGTTTCAGTACTGCCCTGATCGGCCCAGATTCTTATATTTGTTCGTGGAATCGATTACAACTTCAATGTATGTGAGGAATTTTTACAGTCATGTACTTTGAAAGGAACGACTACGGGGAGAAATCTATTTCGACAATTAGAACAAGCGTTAGTATCAATGCAATTACCATGGAAAATATTGGTGTATAACAACTGATGGAGGCAGAAACATTAGTGGACAAAACAAGTGCCTGGTGGGTAAAATAAAAACTAAAATAGCAGAGATAGTATGCGATATCCTATTATTTTTTCATTGCATTATCCACCAGGAAGCTTTATGTTCCAAAGTTCTAGCATGGCAAGAAATAAATAAAGAAAAAATAAAATGTATTTATGATCAGAATTATGAACAAGTGCGGCCCGGCCCGCCATTAATTCTATTTGCCACTATGTTGCCCTTGCATGCCAAAAGATTGCCGACCGCTGGTGTAGAGTAAAAACAACCCAATCAGGTAATGTAGTGGTACTTTCGCGTTTTCCTGAGGTGTCTCGTCGACGTGATGTATTCTAAGCAAATTTTCAAACATAATTTTGAGAGATGTGTTAGGTACGTGTTTATTCAGTTCAATGTTCAGTAGGATAATATATTTTTTAACCTTCGTTTTACTTAAACAAATTTTTAAAACTTACATCACATTGGTTCATTACATAACATTGGTCCAAAAATTTTCAAGTATTATTGAAATACTAATGCATGCATACACGGTCCAATTTAATTTGGATCAATCAACTACCACCTTGAGTTAAAATGGGGAAGATACCGCGCATTCTCATTGGTCTTAAGTAATTTTTCAACTTACGCTAGCCCTTTCCGCTAGGGGTGGGTAGCCGTGAATATAACCGACTTCGGCAACAAACATTTCATAAATGAATTCCTACCCAATGAGAAACAAAGTCAATATTTTAAATTTTTCAAAAACGAAGACATTATTTTCAATATTTCAATTACAAAAATATTTAGAATTTGGAATAAAATTAACAATCAAAATTGAAAAAAAAAATTGTTTTTTTTCCAAACCTGCTTGTATTGGGAATTTTTGAAGTTTTGATTGGGGAATAAAATAATTATTAAGGAGCTTTATTGGATACCCAAAAGGCTACCGACCGAGGTCCTTCAGCCTGTGTTACATTGAGATTAAATTCATCATTATGGTATGTACAAGATATATGGAATTTTTTAATTTGCTAGTGTAAAAAAAAAGAGGAAAAGTTTATTATGAGGCAAGAATTTTGAAGGAATTTCAGTCTTCTGAATTGATTAAGCATTCCAATAGTGTGTTTTTCGGAAACTTCCGTCTTGGGTTCACTATTGGATCTCTCTGTAAACACTGAAGATGGATAATTTTGAGATTGGATTCGTTTTTGGAAAACTTCAATGAGCTTTTTCATTCTCTCAGAAATTGGTTGCACCCTGGTCAGCCGATATAGAAGTTCGTTTGATGGATGGTGAAGGGGATTTTGAGGGTGCCGGATTTTGGTAATGGCTCTCAGGCTAGCTCTTTCGGCTACTTCCAAATTGTTCAGTGCCGTCTTCCTCGTGTTTGTATATTGGGTGAGCATACTCAAGAATTGGGCGGCAAATGGTTTTGTAAATATGCGCTGCAGTTCTTTTGCTAATCCCTTCATTCTTGTAGGTTAGGCTTCGAAAATGATTAGCTATTGTGATGCACTTTTTTTTCATCAACTGGGTATGATGGTTAAAGTTTAGTTTTTGATCTAAGTGTACTCCCACTTCCCAGATATTTAACTAATGCTCTAGTTCTCACTACATGATTGTTCACAGTTACCGTGGGTGAATCATCTGATATTTTTTTATTGAAGAGTATCAGTTGGGATTTTTCTGGATTTGGTTGATAGGGGAATTTCAATATTTTTCATGGTTTGACATTTTCGAGATGCGTCACTTCGCGTTCGCATAGCAGTCGCCCGCGTAGGCTGCGTTAGTAAATGTAAACTCATCAAAAGCTATTCAAGGAATCAAATATAGGGCAAGAGCGATTGAAATATTCATGTTTAATTTTCAACAAATCAAATTTAATCTAACTAATGAATTTGCAATGTGTATGAATAAGCCTTTAATAAGTCAGTTTAAATCCGAAGTTATTCATGTCATTAGGACAGCAAAAATATTTTGCCCTAAGTTTTACAGCGACAAAACTGAACCTAGCTTTTGAAACCATGACAACCAAAATAATTGTAAATAAATCGCTGATAGCGTTTTTGTCAATCTTTATCAATCTTGCATTGTCAGAATAATAGATAATCTGTAGACATGTCGCGATTTGGTGAAGGGAAATTGAAAAAGGCATCAATAATAAGGTGATTTACGCATTCATTAAATTGTCATACTGAATTACACTCAAGCATTTTTTGAGTCATAATAAACTTTTGTTGCCTTCAAGAAATTCAACTCAAAAAACTGCCAGAAAACATTTCGAAGGCAATCGCTATTGATGACTACAGGTCTACTTTCTGTTTGTTTTTTGTAACTGAGGTTTCTTTTGGTAAGTGCTGACAAAATGAGGTAGAAATGAGTGATATTAATTCTTCAAGTTGTTAATCAATGAGTTTATATAGGCTCTGATTATTGTTAATAAAAAAATTAAAAATGACATACTTTCTTAAAACACTCGTATCTTGTCATAATAATAAGACGTGAATCTGAAACAATTTTGTTGAGGAGGGATAATACTTCAATCTAAAACCTACTGAAGTCAATTTGAACTACTCAATTTTACCACAGGGTGTTGAGAAGGAAAGGGTGTGAATAGTAACTTTGGTATTTTCTTGCATAATAATCAAGTCATCAGCTTTACAGGGAAACTAATATTCAGGCTAACATTCCAAAACATGTGTCTTTGATTTGATTTAAAATTTCACAAGAACGGACTAGGATTAAAAAAGTTACAGGATGAACCATTTGGGCAAATTTTTTGTTGGCCGGTATTTTTTGCTGATGAGAGCATTGAAAAAATATAGCTCCTTTAGCTCAATCTTTTATATTTATTGACTTTTTGTGATTTGAGACTGAGAGGGGAGCCTCCTTATGTATTTTGCATTGGGGTGAAAAAATTATAGTTAAGACACTGAATATACCATGTATTATACCTATCAATATACCTCAATAGATACTCAATTTGCAACAATCTATACACATCTTTCTCATATGATATCTACAAGAGCAACAAAATCACCAATGGGCCAGAAAGAATGAAATCAAAATTCACACATCATTTTGTTTTATTCCCACTCAGCTGATAAAAACGATGTCAGGTGACACTGCTGTATTGTTTTCTTAATTTTTCCATCTCAAAGAACAATGAAAATACATTGAAAAGGAATATTCTCAGATATATTATAAACATGAAAAAATGGATACATTTGAATAAATACATTGAGAATTCGCATTCTCTATGTGATAAAATTATTAATTCTTTCTCGGCATATTCAACAGAAAACAACTACTTTCCTGGCTATATGCCACGACGAACATTGAATTATATCAATTGAACATACACGATAGGAATTTGAGCATAAAATGAATATCGTCTGAAATTGAGAATTGACATTCTCTTCCAGAATCGGATGAATACTATGATGAATATATGTTCAATTGATATAATTCAATGTTCGTCGTGGCATATAGCCAGGAAAGTAGTTGTTTTCTGTTGAATATGCCGAGAAAGAATTAATAATTTCATCACATAGAGAATGCGAATTCTCAATGTATTTATTCAAATGTATCCATTTTTTCATGTTTATAATATATCTGAGAATATTCCTTTTCAATACTTTCATACCCAATCAAGGGGTTCAAACTTGAACGATGGAAACTTGTTATTTTTATAGACCTTCAATCGCAGATTCGTGATTGGGTTTTTTTTCTCAATTCAGAATTTCTTTCCACGCCCTGTATGATAAATGTCAGTTTGTCATACATCTAAAACAATGAAAATACAATTTGAACAATTTTTGGCATCATTAATAATAATAAACTTAGGTACACTGGTGGACACTCATAAGGATAACCCTGTATATAATGAGCAAATCTACCTTGATTTAGCTATTTGATCAGGTATTGACTTGGCTATTGAGTTAACAACTACAACATAGATCAACCAGACAAATTATACATGCTTTATTTAATGTCCTTCAATGACACATTTTCAAATAAAAAATTCAACACAAAATACTTTTTTTATGGTTTTTTCATACCTATTTAGTAAACAATCATACCAGATGATGGCCAGTTAATCAATAATCAATGGGAATAGGAGATGAAAAATGTTAACAGATTGCTTGTGAATGAGGTTACACACATGCCATTATTTTAAATAATATTCTTCCTACTTTTCACAACATCATATTTTGAGTTGACTTTCATATACAGAAAAAAATGTGTCATTGAAGTACATTGTGATATACAAACTATCCTATGATGTAAAAAGAAGGGCAAATTGTTCTAAATGAGATCCAAAAGACAGGCAGAAAAGAAGGTGAAATTTGTAACTTTATAGTGAAATATCTGAATGAATAATGGGTTGTTCAAATTTTCATTCTCAAATTCCTGTTTTATAGTCAAAAATACAAAACAAAAAAATTTCCCAGAGAAGTCCCTCACATGATAAGTGCAAATTTACCTATTTCTTTTTATTATGAATGAAACTTACCAGTACTTGCTCCAGATGGTACAGCAGCACGAAATAGACCTAGGTCTGTCACAAGATCGACTTCCACAGTGGGATTACCACGGGAATCGAAGATGTTACGGGCCAAAACACTTTTGATAGGCATTTCCAAGCAGGCTGCTTTACTGGAAAACCGAAACACATTAAAGGGTGGCATTTTGTGGTTGAGAATTAATTTTGAAAGTTCCTGAAGTACCTACTAGAGGTTATGTGTATGTCAAAAAAAAGGAACAAAAGAATATAATCACGTCTGTTTGTTGATAATTTGTTAAAACTGTGCCCAATCCCAAAAGCCCTGAGAGTAATTATTTATAATTTCTATTCAGATCCTATTTCCTTCATCATTTTAATAAAATGAGGCTCAAGGCGTGGTAAATTAGCAACTTGGCAATTTTCTGAATTATATTTCAATTCAATTAATACAGAAAAATAATTCAAAGGAGATCAAGTTGACTTACCCACTAGAAACAAATGAATAACGTCTTGATCGAGATTGCCCTATCAGCTGCTAACCGGCGATCGTTCTCAAAGAAATGTCAAAAAATGTGAAATGAAATCGCACGTCCTTTTAACCTTTTGAAGGTCAACTAGAGGTTAAGCTTTCATTCATTCATTGGTTAGATGGTTCTTCTTCTTTATTTGTCAGAAACATTCTACCTTTTCCACATAAGCATTAGTTCGTTTGAACCATAGTTCTTCATTGATGTCATTCCGTTCAGATAGATCTTTGTATGCATTTTTTGTATGCATCAGGAATCGAAGGTAACTAGAACGGTGATCTTATTTAATACACACTGAACATACACTACACACAGAAAGTAGTCTAGAGTAGAGTGTCTAGAGTATAGTCAAAAACTTGAACCACCTCTATACAGGGTGTAATTCAATTGATGATGGCTGAAAATAATAAAAGATACCTCATGGATATACCCAAGGTTGGTAGAACTGATGATTAGCTCCCTTATAAGAGACATTTCTCGACTCATCATTTCATTGAAAATGTTCTACCTATTTTTGATCTTTGATCGAAGAAGCCGCAGGAAAAGTTTGGCAGATTTTTTCCGAGGTGGTTTTGAGGAAGGAAATAAGAAGAAGAACTTCCGAGGTGTATATATACTGTTTTTTGCACGACCCTACGATTTTAATTGAAAGAATCTTATGATAAAATCATTTATTGTCACTACGACCTATTATGATACATTTCTGCATCACGAAAATGAAAATCTTCGACACAAAATAAAGTTTAATATTATATTTTTCTAGCATATTTTTTAAACCTGCTTTCCTAAGTTTCTTCAATCAATATTGCTGAAATGTGTGAAAGAAACAATGAAGAAGCTTCTGCAAATATAGTGGGAGATTTATTTTACCAGAAAAATCCAGGAAACATTTTTAGTCTAGGGAGTACTTTATGGGTAAATGGAGCTTTTATTACCTCTGAAACGGTTGGAATGTATGTTTTAAAATGCGATTTCCTCTGGTACATACAATTTTTGTAAATCAAAGATGAAGGAATCAAACGGTGGAAGCAAAATGTGAAATTTGTCAACTGTCTCAAAAATGCCTTCTTAATCGAAAAAAATTGTCCCATCCTGTATCAAATATATATTCACTAAAAGCATATATGATGTATGAAAGGAGCATTAGTATGAGTTTATTTACCTGCCAATGGCAATAGGTCAATAAAGCAGTAAAGAATAGCGACAGACATATTTTTTATATAACATATTATTTTGGCTCACTCATCTCTATCAACCCTATTATTATTTACGACATAACCTTTCCGGACACCCTGTATAATATACAATACAATAACATATTATGTTAAAAATTTACTTGTAGGAGGTATTAATTCTTCACGTTCTTTGGAATAGTCAATAAGTACGACATATTTAACAGTTTCAATCAAATAGACATGCAGACACACAATTAAACGAATTTTGTGTAGTTTTATTTGCATGTTGATATATGGTAATCATAATCTAGAAGTGATGAATAAACTTTATTGGTTCATTTTCAGAAACAGCGATATATCTGTAGAATTCAAATTAATTATCATTCCAATTTACTATAATAGCTATCGGTAATTTATAATCAGAATAAGAAATTTGGTGCCGACTTTTGGTACACACCTTATAGCTGGGGGAATAAAAATATTTCAGATAGATTGGAAACTATTTATTTCAACAGAGGATATCAAGTTTTAAATCCAGATGCAAGTTTTGGAAAACTTGTGTGAGGCCGACGTGAATCACCCTGTATGAATATATATACCCGTTGGGACACCCATCTTTGGAATATTTCTGATGATCCCCAAGCTATTTTCCTTTATTTCAGAAAATGAAGGTTTTAATAGAGGTTAGATTCATATGGGTTGTTGAAGAGTTGATTAAAATGTATATAGGTACCATTTTCAAAATTTGTTTATTATTACCACATTAATAAATTGAATGGAGCACATGACAAAGATACATTTCGATAATAATCCATAATGTATTATTAAGTAATGCGTACATCAATAAAAATATATGCAAATATCTAACAAGAATATGCTGACCCTGTGTAACATCACATAAGAATATTCCAACAAACATATGACAGATATTTTTTGTAGAAGGCACCTCATAAAATATCACATTGCCATACATAGGTAACTGGTGTAACATTCTAATGGCCGTTGAAAAATCCCTTTTTACGGCAATAACACGAAATTGTTCTCGTTATTATCATTATAAATTATTATAATCAACATTGTATGTCTTCAATTCCATTCCCTCATCTGATAATACAATGGCTTCATTGTGTTTATTCACAATAAATGTCATTTCCCATGGAAAATGTCAAATTTCATGCATCAATGACAGCTCTGCCTGATATAGAGCATCACTTTTTCAAGAGAAAATCAGATGACTACAAGCCGAAGAAATAAAAATGTTTACTATTATCTGTTATAGCCGTTGAAAAAGTATAGTGTATAACTCACACGGAATGCTAATTTCCCACTTCATTCTCGTTTAAACGAGTATCATTACGTGCTCGTTAAACAACATACTATTTCATTTGCTGCTTCCTGACAATTCATCCAACGAACAGCGAGGCTCTGGAACACATTGCCAAGGGAGGTGGTCCCAGAGGCATATGACCTCCAGAAATTTAAGAAGAACACCAATTCCTACATCATTTCCCTTGGTTCTCACGATGTTCTCTGACCATTACAGGATATCCCTTTTCGTGGGAACCAGAACATAAAAAAGGAATATGTGTTAGTATAAACAGGATGTTTAACAGCATTTTGTATAAAGATGGCTCAATCCCGATAGTGTAATGTAACCACCTGAAAGGCAATGGGGGAGACCACTGATTTTTCAAAACGACATTATCGTGTACTCTATACTAAAATACTACCAGCGAATTAATTTTTAATTTTGTCATTCATGCTAAGACGATGAAAACAATAAATTAGAATATGTCCATTTCAAAGCACACAATTCCTGCGCCATTCGAAATTTTGTCAATTCATTGGTGTGACTGGTGCGACGTCTTAGTCCCAACACGCCTATTGTCCTTGAACTGACCAATCACACTACAACACTGCAGAATGACGAGGTATCAGAGAGAGATAGCTACAGGTTGGGACTAATACGTCACGGCTCCACATCATATTTGGCTGTTTGAAATATCGAATGAAATATGCTGATTTCAAAACGATATAGATTCGATTCCCTTCAACTTCAACTCATAATATTGATTGTGCATCAAACGTAACTCATAATTCGTCGATTAAAAGAGGTTTGCACGGATTTCTTCTCTCAGTGGTCTTCCCCGTTCGGTGACGTCAGCTGAGTAGAAGATAGGATTATATTATCAAGAATTGAGTCATCTTTTTACAGATAGGTACAGTGAATTATGTTTGTGTTAGTACAGGCTTTCTATCAATGATATATACACACATATACTGGGTGACCAAATTTCAAGTCATTCGATCGCGCGGTTGATTTTTCACAGGCGGGGACATTTTAGCTGGGACACGGTTATATTAATTGTATAAGATTTCTCATGAGTGGAAGGTGGCAAATCAACAACATTTTTAACGGCTAGGTATTACGATGTTATGATCAATGATAGAAACCCTGATGTATTATTGGACATACTAGTTCGAAACCGCTGTTTTCAACTTGTGATGTGAGATGTGACATTATGAACAGTGTAATAATATCACGATGTTCTGAATATTCCAGATAATTTTGTCGCTTCCTTGTTCACGAAACTTGTGTTGCCAAGCAACACCATGAGTCCGTCAGGACGAGTGACATTACCGTATGGCACCATAATTGATTTAACAATGAAAGACATAATTATTAAAAGATATTCATATTTTGCTAGACTATATTTCACGAAGCATAAGAAGCATTAACCAAAGCGATTCATTTTGACATCTACAGGTATAATTATTTTATGTCGAACTAACAGATTTTGCTTCGTTATCCACGGGTACATCATTGAAAACACCAACGCTGACAGACCAATCAGAATTGAAAGACAGAGCTAGTGTTTTCGCGATAATACAAGTTGTCTTTGGCTTGTGATTGGTCAGATTATCTGAGAATCTTAACCCTTAACTGGTATCGTGTTTTCTCGAAACGTAACTGGTATTGTGGGGTATTCCAACACCGCATTTTTTATAAGGTGATATAATACAATATATATTATATACCGGGTGGTCCATTTAAGAGTATCCACCCTCGATCTCCTAGAATTATCATTTTACAAAAAAATTACAAAACAGGTCGATTTTCATATGGAGGGGGACACCTTTTGACGCGAATTAAATAATCCATACTTCATCCGTCTACTACCCAGAGCAACCCCCTCAATAATTTGAAAAGGGTATAGGGGTCGTGTTATAAATCATTGCGAAGGTAATTCAATTCTGAAACCAGCAGTGGAAAGTTTTTTTGAATTCCAACAAGTCGTTCTCGAGATATTCGAGTTCAAATAGTATGTTGTTTAATTGTAAGTAAATGAATGTATATGATAGATTATTGAACAGGTATTGAAAAAAAATGTTCAAAATGACCTCCATTGGCTCCCAGACAGTGGTAGAGTCTATTTGAAAATTTCTTTTGTACGTTTGAGATAGTTTCTCCTGCTTGGCATTTAGTTCTTATTCTTCTCTTCAAATCATCGAGATCAGTAGGTTCCGTTTTGAAAATAACAGATTTCAAATTACCCCATAGGAAAAATTCATAGGGTGCCAAGTCCGGCGAGCGTGTTGGCCATTCTATTGGTCCTCTACGGACCTCTATAATAATGGTCATCAAAATCTATTGGCAGATAATATTTATTTTCAACAAGATAATGTGTCACCTCATTCTGTATCGCAGGTGAGAGAATGGCTACCCCAATATTTCCAAAACAAATAGATAGGTTATTAAAATGGCCAGCACGCTCGCTGGACATGGCAATGATTTTTTTCTTTGGGGTCATCCGAAATCCGTTATTTATAAAACGGAATCTACTATGATCAGGACGATAAGTTAAGA